ACTGCATCGTACACAACATCGATATTCCACTTGTACAGGATCTCTTCCTGTTTGTGTGGATACAGATTGTCCGACAGACTCGCGTCCGGCATACTTGCGTCAAATCCCGACATCTTGCACGATCAAATTCCGACCGCACGTGTCGAAAACCTCGTACTTGAATAGTTTCGTTTGGAACGTAAAAACTCATATTTCGTCATATCCAACAAAGCTCCCTGTAGTTGTAGGAATCTTTTAAAAAATAGTTGTGGGAAATTCCTACAACTACTGTAGTTGTGGGAAATTCCCACAACTAGTTGTGGGAATTTCCGTTGAACAGCTGTCCATTTTTTTGCCTTAAATGTATCACGAAATATCACGAAAACAATTAGAGTTTTTTGGAAACATCATATGTAGTTGTCTAATTTCTAGTCAGTTAGTACGTATCAAACGTTGTTTTGTGTGTAGAACGGACAGTTTTCCGTAGAACGGACAGTTTTCCCATAATTCCCAATAAAACAATTAGAGTTGTGGGAAACTTCCCACAACAACAATTAGAGTTGTGGGAAACTTCAAATTTGTCTCAGTACATATCCTACGTGGTTTTCTGTGTAGAAATGACAGTTTTCCCACAACTGTTGGGGGAATTCCCACAACTACAGTAGTTGTGGGAAGCAAAATTGAGTTGTGGGAAAAATTGAGTTGTGGGAAAAATTGAGCTGTGGGAAAATCTCGCAACTTCGAAACTAGGGGAGAAATCCGGGGATTCCCACTGCCTCATTATCATCAAACGGTTCCAACATCCAACATCTGCCAACGAAAGCGCTTCAAAACCCAATGTCATATCCACCGCGGCATATCCGACATAGCCAACGCAAGGGAGATCCTGCACCTTCTCCTGTTGTAGGACCTCTGAAAAGTATCAATGGATGGGTGTTGTTCGCAAGAGGAATTCATGAGGAAGCTCAGGATGAAGATCTCAGTGACCTCTTTTCAGATTTTGGCAAGGTGAAATCTATTCACTTAAATCAGGATCGAAGGACAGGATTAGCAAAAGGGTATTGTATGATTGAATTCGAAAAGAAAGAGGAGGCGCAGGATGCCATTAATACACTGCATGGAACAATTTTTTTGAACAGAACAATTAGTGTTGACTGGTGCTTCACTTCAACGCCATTGAGTAGTACGTCGACAATCGAAAGGGGGAGACACTCTTTTCTTTCTTAGAAGGCTAAATGTTTCTAGATTTTAAGTAGCCAACATTTATCTTAACGACGCCATGCGCCACCACCATCTTTGCCGCTTTCCCTGTCTCCGTATCCTGCCCGGCGGTCTCCGCGGTCTCTGTCTCCATATCCACCTCTTCGATCTCCGTATGCACCGTCACGGTCTCGGTCACCATATCCACCTCTTCGATCTCCAAAGCCGCCAACGCCACCGCGATCTCGGTCGTCATAACCACCTCTACCTCCAGAACGACCTTCGTAACGCCCTCCTCCGGGATACCCCCCTCCTCCGAAGCGACTGCCACCAGAATCATCGCCCCCGCCCTGTCCTCTTCGAGAGGGTGGGACATATCTACTACCAGAACCGGAAGCATTATCCAAAGCTCGTGAAGATCTTGGTCCACGATCTTCCTGCTGACGACCTCGACGTTCTCTTTCTTGGGCCATTCGAGCAGCTTCAGCTTTACGGCGCTCTTCTTCCTTAGCCTCTTTCTCTCGTCGAGTTTCTTCTTTCTTTCTACGCTCTTCTTCGGCTTTGTGGGCTTCTTCTTCTTGCTTTCGCATGGCTTCTTCCTCCGCCAATCTTTTGCCTTCGTCTTGTTTTCGGTTTCGAGCCCTTTGGATTTTCGCCTTCTCGGCCTGTAGATCAGCTTCTTTATCCGCTTCGGCACACAATTCTTTGTGCTTGATCTCACGACCCGACATCACCTTGCCCTCGAAATCACCCATGTAATCGAACACACAATGAGAAGAGAGCCGTTCTTTGTCTTTCTTGTCGGACTCCCACTGCAACTTTGCTCTTTGAGTCTTCTCGACAACCTCTTGCTCGTATTGCTCTCGATCCTTCGTCACCTTCTCTTCGTACTTTGCCTTCACGAGCGGTAACTCCTCGATTCGAATTGCTCTGACCAAGTAGTCAAGCCGTTTCGCTTCCTCACGGGTCTTCCTTTCGGCCTCTTCCTTCTTCTTGTTTTGCTTTTCCTGGTGCTCTTTAGCGAGCTTGTCGGCATCGAGTTTTGCCATCTCCTCGGCTGTGAGAGCTTCAGTGTTGTGTCCCATTGCCTTGAGGAGCTGCTCTTTCTTCATATTTTCCATCTCTCGTTGAATCTTTCGTTGCTTCTCCTGTTCCCGGAGGCGCTGTTCTCTCTGAATGCGCAACTCTTCTTCGGCCTTTCTTGCAGCTTCTTCCTTAGCTGCTGTCTCTTGTTCCAAACGGACCTTTTCTTGAGCAAGACGCTCCATTTCCTCCTTGCGTTGTTCGATCCAATTCTTGCGCTCCAACATTCGAGTATGGTCAGCTTCGCGGTTATCTCTGATCGATTGGTAGAACTCAGACCGGTCAACGGTTTTTGATTCTGCGGGTGCAAGAGTCTGGCAGACCTCGTCCAGCTTTTGGGCTAGAACCGTAAGTTGAGAACGCATGGAATCGGATTCCAGCTGTGCATCACCAAATCGAAGACACCCGGATCTGTGATCAATACGTACAACCAATCCTTTGTGGGTCTGAGTAAAGAGGACGATTTCCTTCTCGACACTTTCGAAACTCATGCCCAAGCCGTCGGTGATACCCTTCAAGAAATCAATGCGAACAGTGTGGTAGGCTGAGCTTAGATTCCAAAGCAATTTAAGCAAAAGTATGCTGCGCAGAGGTGTGACGTATTGCGCTAGAGAAGAGGCTGTTGCATCATCGGCTGATCCAGTGTCTGCAGATAGTTGATCCAAGAGCGGCTTTGCAGTTTCGACCAGAACAAGGGGGTCAGAATCGTGCTCCAGTAGGTAGAATAGCTGTTTGAGATATTCTGGGACTTGCTCAAAAATACCACGTGAGGAGATCTCTTCCAACAAATTTTCTCTCGTTGGATTACGTGTATGAAAGCCTAGTAGCGTGGCCATTCGAGCCATTTTTTCTTGAATGACAGAGTCATCAAAGCGGTTGTTGCCTCCCCTTGCGACCGAAGACGAGTCAGCAGACTTGGGGAGCGAAGGGATACACAGTGCAGCTAGAAGAACGGCGCTTGCTTGCTGGGTCTTCGCCTCCTCTCCCATTCCCTTGTTGAATTCCTTGCACAACGCGTGGTATTTGAACCAAGCAAATGCATGGAAAAGGTAATTTTCTGACACCCAGAACAAGGTTGTAAGCTGCTCGTAATACTTGGCCATCAATTTTGCCTTTGGCAGAGGGAGTTCAGGGTTTTGCTTGCGGCGCTGATGTGAAATTTGCAAGATGTTGTAAATGTCTTCCACGGTACGGAATCCTTCTGTGTATAAGTGCAAGACACTGGCCGTTTCCAGCTGGGCAAATCGTGTTTGCAAGTGCAATTCGATCGCCTCGTTCGACCATCCTTCCCAGCCACGAACCTGTCACAGTTTTAGGCTTTGTGAGTGACACCTTCCGCATTTCTGCAATGGCAATTTGTATCTTGATGCTTACCTTATTGTTCTTCCCCGATGAATCTTCGCCATACTTTTGCAGATTACCGAGATGCATTCGCAGCAAATCACACAGGCGACGGAATTCGGTTCTTCTTTGATATTCACGGCAGAATCGCAAGGCGCCGACAGCCGCAGAGTGGTACACGTGCTCAAGCTTGGAGTTGCTTCTCAGGATATCCAATACGGCGCGGTATATTTCCCAAAGAAACTTCAGTGAAGGAAGAACTAAAGTGGAATCCCGTTGGTTTTTCGCCGGATCTGTGGACATGCTCGACAACAGAACTGCCTGTGGCGCGATGCCATCTTCATCCAAAGAACCTTCTAGCTTTGATGGCTGCGATTCAGACAGAGCAGTTGCAGCTGCTTTGGCTTTGGTGCATTGGTCTTCCGCTCTCTCGACAAGGTAACGAATCACTTTCTCTAGACTACCGGGAGCTTGCGACTGGGCCAAGTTGCGGTATTGATGAAGTCCATCCTTGGCTTCACGTGCTTTGTGTAGCTTCAAACATAAATTCAGGTAAGCGATCATAATCTGTTCGAAGGCTGGAGACCAAGTCCTGTGTCGGCGGCTGCTCAAGACCTCATGAAGAAGTTCCAAGGCTGCAGATTCTTGGTTGATGCCCTGCAATTCGAGTGCACGGCGCAAAGCCAGCTCTGGTTTGTGGAAAAAAGCTGATGACGACATTGCGGAGTTTGTTGGCGTTTTTGAGCTCGTCCACAAATGCAATGAACTTTGGATGCATCAAATTGAAAATGGTCGGTGTGATTTGCAGGACGGACGATGGACATGCAGCACTCGTTCCTGATAGTACGTACCGGTACCAGGTTGAAATAAATGTTCTGCCCAATCGGACGGACCGCCGACGGACCTTGGATGTTTTGTGCCAACAAAAATCAAATGAAACCTGTGGCAATCTCTGATCCATCAGAAGCATCATTATTGGTGTAAGAAGATGAAGTTTTCCATCGCTGGCATCTTGCACTTGGCCATTATCAACGAGTCATGGTCTTTCACTATTCCTGAACAGAAATCAGCTTTGCTTGCTAAGCTATCCATGTCGGATGCCGACGATGGTGAAGATGGTGTCATGAACAAGTGGAGTCGGTAAGTTGTTCTCATTTCTGTTGTTGTTGTTGTTGTTATTTTGTATACAATATGTCTAATGAATCCACAGAATTTTGACAGGACCAAAGTCACAAGGCGCTTCACAAGCTATGCTTTACGCAACTGGTTTGAAAGAAGAAGATATGAACAAACCCCAAGTCGGAGTTTGCAGTGTGTGGTATGAGGGAAATCCATGCAATATGCATTTGTTAGAGCTTTCAGAGCACGTCAAAAAGGGTGTCAAGGAACAAGATCTGGTTGGTTACCGTTTCAATACAATTGGAGTTTCTGATGGAATCTCTATGGGGACTGTTGGGATGCGTTTTTCTTTGCAAAGTAGAGACTTGATTGCAGACTCGATTGAAACCACGATGGGTGCTCAGTGGTACGATGGGCTAATTGCACTTCCTGGGTGTGACAAAAATATGCCTGGTTGCGTCATGGCTATGGGAAGATTGAATCGCCCAAGTATCATGATCTATGGAGGTACTATCAGAGCCGGGAAACAGCCTTCTAACGGAGAAAGTTTGGACATTGTCAGTGCTTTCCAATCGTATGGGCAGTATGTGTACGACAAGATCTCTGAGGAAGAAAGAAAGGAGATTATCCAACAGCAAGTCTTGACATGGGATGATTTGTGTTTTTACAGCAAATGGAATTCTAACCTTTTTCAATCGCTATATTTATTAAAGTTCATGTCCTGGACCTGGTGCCTGTGGTGGAATGTACACTGCAAATACAATGGCAACGGCCATCGAAGCGCTAGGTGAGCTACTGATCCTCTGTTCTGACTGCTTCAAATGGGGCTCAAACTTCCAATCTTGGTATTGTTCGTGACGAGTTACAGGTTTGTCTTTGCCCTATTCGTCTTCTTCTCCTGCTGATTCGCAAGAGAAAGTGGATGAATGCATTAGAGCAGGCGAAGCAATGAAGAACCTGTTGGCCAAGGATATCAAACCTAGGGATATCATGACTAAGGAGGCTTTTGAGAACGCCATCCGGATGGTAATGATGACAGGAGGATCAACCAATGCTGTCTTACATTTGATTGCAATGAGTCGTTCTTGTCAAGATCCGGAAGTGGCCATTGCCTTAGATGACTTCCAACGCATTTCGAATGAGGCAAGTACTCACAAGTCTATCGCGGTAGTTCCTTTCTTTCACAGCTGTCGCTAACGCGATTTTTAAACCACGCTGAAGACTCCCTTCTTGGCAGATCTGAAACCATCCGGAAAATATGTGATGGAGGATGTTCAAAACATTGGTGGAACACCTGGAATGATCAAGTTCATGATTGACAACGACATGTTCGATGGTGATCAAATGACTGTTACAGGAAAGACACACAATGAAAATCTTGCAGAAATGAATCATCCAGGCCTTACACCAGGTCAAGAGATTATCCGGCCACTTGACAACCCAATCAAAGCTACAGGACACCTACAAATCATGTACGGAAACTTGTGTCCTGGTGGTGGTGTGGCCAAGATTACCGGAAAAGAAGGAGAGACTTTCACTGTACGCGTCTTTGGAGGTTTGCACTCCGCACTTATGTTTTGTCACTGACTGCTTGTTTCCTTTTCTTCAATTCCAGGGCACTGCAAGAGTCTATGACAACGAACCTAGCATGATGAGAGGTTTGGAAAAGAAAGAGATAAAGGCTGGCGATGTTGTCATCATTCGTTATGAAGGGCCAAAGGGAGGACCTGGTTTACCGGAGATGCTTACTCCTACAAGTGCAATCATGGGAGCTGGACTAGGTGATGTGGTTGCCCTCTTGACTGATGGAAGATTCAGTGGTGGCAGTCATGGATTCTGCATTGGTCATATCACCCCAGAAGCACAGGTTGGAGGTCCTATAGCACTTGTGAAGAATGGTGACCCGATTCGAATCGACGCACGGTCCGATCAACGAACCATTGATCTCCTCATTTCTGATGAAGAATGGGAGAAACGTCGCAAGGAATGGACTCCTCCCTCACTACGCTCCAGTCAAGGTACGCTTTTCAAGTACATCCAAAGAGTTGCGACTGCGAGCGAAGGTTGTGTTACAGACGAAATTGGTACAGCTTCTGCAAGTGAGATCGCTGATGCGGCACCAAAAACTCCCGCTGTTGCAGAGTTGGAAGCACGAATTGCTGAACTCGAAGCCAAACTTGCCGAGAAGTAGAGCGCTACAGTAAAATATTTTTATCAATTATGAAGGCGATTTCATTTTCCATTTTGGATATCACTGAGTTGTTTTCATTAGAATTTCGAACAGGACTTCTGACGAAACGGACTTAAAAGCATTTACCAGAGTCGGAGACTTCTCGAATTCATTTCTCAGTCTTGACCATTCTTTTGTAATAGTTGTCACACATCGATGTCTAAGTGAGGAATCGACAAATCGGGTTTGTTCACCATAACCCACACTTGTCTCTACGGCAAGCAATTTGATCGCTGTGACAGCATCGATCGAAGTCAATATTTCGTCATCCACCATCTGTTGCAGCTGATCTCGAGACAGTGATTTGGCGTGATTGTGTAAGCTTTCGGCAACATAGCGACTTGTGGTTGTTGCGTCACAACGTAGCCTCTCGGGTTGATCCTTCTTCACGCAAAGAATGCGACGGAGTATCTGCGGCTTGAGCTTACCCGCTAGAGAAACATCCATGGACTTCATTTCTGTAGCAAAGTAATCTATGGCAGCTTCGAGCAGTGAATTGTCTTCGAAATCTGAGACAACTTGGATGAAGTCTTCGATGTTCTCTCTGTCCATGCTATCGCGATAAAAATCGACAACGAGCTGCCGCAAGGAGTCGATGCCGAGGCTCTTCCCCATCGTGAAAAATGAGAATGCAGTCCGCATGTCCAACTTCGGGGTGATATTGAAATAAATGTAGTCAAGTACTTTTGAAAATATAGCAGCCTCAGCCGTTCCCAAGACCAGAACATTTTCCGTGGATGATGGAGAGGCGCCTTGAAACAATCTTGCGAAGTAATTGCTTTTCCGTTCTCCACAAGAAAGGGCGCGACGATGAACATGAAACGATTCTCTTTCAAATGTATCATTGTGCAAAACCACAATGATCCAATCGCTAGAACCATCGGATATTGTCCGTCGCCACTTGAACCTAGAGGAGGACATTTCGTTGTCCACCTCGACATCTGGATTTTTATCAGGAGTGGAAGTGGGAGACCAAAATTCGTTCTGTGTCCCCTGGCCCTCAGCCATTGATTGAAGAATGGTAGGTATTCCATGGTCAATACATTTGACTTCACTACCTGAGGACTCGAGAACACTGTTGGAAGAAATTGGCTCTGAAACATCCAAGGATTGAGCAGAGTTTTCCTTTCCTGCGCTGTCTTTTCCAGTACCACGAGACCTAATTTGTAATCGGCTCTCACATTGAAAAATTTTCTGCCGATTCATTCCATTGAGAAGATCTTTTCGATCTTTCTGAAAGAGTTTGTGCCAGTAACTTCCTCTATTCGGGCCTTCGTCGACTCTTGAAAACCCATACAGATTCTAAAAAGTTAGTAGCAGGGTTAGAAGCCAAAAATGAGAGTAAATGTATACCATCCTTCGACTCAGAACTTACGAGCTGTCGCTGAAAGGATTTATACTTGGTTTGTTTGAAAAAAAGCGGCATAACACACGAAACAAACATAATTGGATCATGTACCCGAAAACAGTTGTTTCCTGGCGGTTGCCAAGAGACAATGTGCTCATAATCGTTTATTGGAGCATTATCCAACATTTCATAAAGTTTCCACGGGAATTGGTAATCTTTTTGTATCAGTGCTCTGTACTGGTCAGTGATCTCCTTCTTGTCACATAACTGGAAATTGGCGGGTTTCGCAGCAAATTGATTTGTTGATGTCTCTGGCGATACTGTGTTGATCTGAGTCCTTGTAGCATTTCTCGGAGCAATCATAGGAATGTGAGTAGACAATGCGCCCAGTGATTTATAAAAAGTTGGGTTTGATGATGACGATACCGTAGCTCCAACTGTGTTTGATCCACTTTCTTCACTGGACTGTCTAGAAATGTACTGACAGAGATCCTTGTTGCCTCTCAAGAAGTGCTTGTGTTTATATCCACCTTTTCCGGGACCCTCATTTATTCTTGTGTACCCATAGAGGTTTAATTGACGCTGAAAGGACTTGTACTTTGTTTGTTTGAAATATCGTGGCATCAGCTTTTCAACGAACACTTGAGGCTTGAAAACTCTGAACGATGTACCATAGGTAGCACCATCGCCCTGCCACGCAACTATGTCGTGCAATCCATCTTGCTCTGCTTGTTCCAGCATATCGTACAATTTCCATGGAAATTGAAAGGAATTCGAGCTCTGCATTGGTGAGGAAACAACTTCTGGAGATACATGAGAACTTCCAGACAAAGTTTGCTGTGCTCCCAGCCTCAATTCGTCTTCTGTGTTACCCATGCGAATAGCATGATTCAAGATATCGAATCCCCGACAATACTCGTGCTTGAACATTTGGTGGTTCGTTCTTCCTTTCGCCATGGAAGAAAAGGATGACAATAGAGTTGAGTGAGAGATGGGTTCTTTCGCCCAACACGTACGTTTTCTTTTCTTCGCTTCGCGAGGTGATGGGTCTGACGTGGACCAATTGTTTCTTTTTTTTAAAAATGAAAAAAATAAAAATTGAGTGACGTCAGGTTCTAAAAAATTTAGTTCCCACCAAAGCAATAGGACTACTGCAAGATTAATTCCCTCCACTGCCTCCGCCCCATGGAAACCAAGCGTTCTTCCTTTTGCTCTCAGTACCAGCCTTGCTGATATCCCTTCCATCCTCATTGTTGTTGTCTATATTACTGATGGCTCCGAAACCTCCGAGACCGTCATCAAAACCGACATCTGCTCCAAATGACAAACCAGGTTTCAGGCCAACATCATCACGAGGAGTTGAGGTACCTCCAGGCAACTTTGCTGAGTCGAAGCGTTGAAACGGTGGTTGCGAAAGATTGACTGTAGGGGGTTGAGAATCATCGAAGAGCATAGAAGTTGCAGGTCTGCCTCTTGTGTGAATCATAAACTGGTTTGGAGGCTGTTCCACATTGTCAAAATACGGATCAAATGGCGTTGTTGGATGGTGTGGAGGTGCCATTTTCCCTGGAGTGTTGAGTCCACTACCAACTGATATATCATCATAGTAGCTTGCAAAACTCGTAGAGCTTGCAATGGTCGAATCGTCGTCAAACTCTGCACCATCATTGAGATCTCTTGGCATTTCGAACCCTACAACGCTGTCAGAATCACAAGCCTTGATGACTTCACCAGCCCAAGGCATCCAATTGGTGATATCCTCTCCATCTGTCCAGGTCTGTGACATTCCAACTTCCATACCCTCTTGAGGAATACTATCCACAACGGATATGTCATAAAAACTCTCAGTTCTTTTTTTCGCTTCGATCAGCTGTAGAGACAGTGGCGCACTCAAAACACTTTCTACAGCACTGGTAGAACGAGTTTGCTCTTTCATTGGCTTTGGGTCGTTGGTACCAAACAAGGACTGTGAGCTTGTTTTTTTTTCCATCAGCAAGCTAGTTTCAGGCTGGTAAGTGGGGTCTACTGCACTCCTTTCTTTGTCCAATTTGATATTAAGCACTTTACTGCCTTGTGTACGTGGCTCGCTGAAACTCTCAACACTTCCAGCCTGTAACGCAATTGGTCCCTGCGAATGTCTCGAATCTAGTGTTTCAATAGTGTGCATCAGCATAATCGTTTCAGTAGTCTTTTCATCGTGCCCTGCAGCCTCATTGGCCTGGGGTTGCGTACTTGGGTCCAAAATTGCTCGTGTGATGTCCTCGCTGGCTTCTTTCATCACGTTTTCCGTTGTTTGGGGCTTTCTTTGGCTCGGTACCGGTACTGGATGTGGTCCAGCTTGACGTTTTTGTTCTGTACCGTCGCTGGGCTTGCCCATTGAGAACTCTATTGTATTCTGCATTCCTTTCGTATTAAGAAGAGATGGTTCTCCTTGATGTACTGAATTGCTTCTATTTGTGGGTAGTTGTCCTTCCGTCTGCGGTTCCGTTGCCTTTTGATGCTCTTGAGCTCCTTTTTCCATTCCATTCTGTGGCTTTGTTTTTTCAATGCCAATCTTGCCGTTGTCAAACACTGTGGTCAAGCTTTTGCCGCACCCTGATTCTGCTGTGTTGGCCACAGTCACACTGTGGTTTGGGACTGGATTGCTGTTGGTCAAAGGATGCAGATCATTTTTTATGTCTACAAAGTCTTCCCGTTGCTTGGCTGGTCTGCATTTTTGCAAATCAACAGAGGGAGAGGTTTTGTTTTTGTCACAATTTTTTTGCCCAATCCCCCTAGTCGCAGGGGTAATCATGTTAGTGTCTAATGGTAGTGATGTTTTGGTTGCCTTTGAGCTGATGCTTCGGTTCATTTCCTCCTTCTTTGACTCAGTTTTCTGCATGTGCAAAACATCAATAGAAGATTCGGACTGATCTGCTGGTTGTAGAGGAGCCGTGGACGGCGCAGGGCAAGTCTCTTGATTGCCTAACACGTTTTCATCTAAACCTCCAGTTTCAACACCACCAACCATTTTCTCGGTATTCACGTTGGAATTGATTTTCTTTGCTTGTGCTGTTGCCGAAGGCTGCACGCCACTGAATTGCCGACCTTTACGCGATGCAGCTGCTGCAGCCATGGCCAACAACAGATCGGATCTTGTCTGTTGTTTACTATGTCGCGTGCTTTTGATAGTTTGGAGGTTTCCTCTGGTTGTAGTACCGCCGATATCCCTTTCCTTTGGTATGTTCAAGACCTTCTTGCCCTTTGGTTTGGGTTGCAACGCAGAGCTGCTACCATGCTGACCCTTCTTTGCCCTACCACGTGACTTGTCTGCATCCTTGGCTGCAGCCTTTGCGACCCTTGCAGCTGCACGCTTTCTTTCCTTTGTCTATAGCAGGGCTTAGCAAGGCCATATAAACAAGTGCGAAATACAGCGACAAAATACTGACCTCTTTTTTCTCTATAGCTTCAACTTGATCCACTGCCTTTTGAAACTCCCTCATGAAGCGACGAAGTATCCCAAAAAAGTCTCCTGTTGGCATGTTCTCATCTTCTCCAAAGTATTGGAGTATCGCAAGAAACTTTTTTCTTACATCCTCAATGGAGACAATAGCTTGATCACAAGAAAATTTGGAGTCCACCATGAATCTTTCCATGGGCGTCCGGCCAGTGTGGTGATCCATTTTGTTGAATTGTGAAATATTTCCTACCTGCCGAACAGTTGTTCGCTGTTCCTTCAAGTCTTCTAGGGTCATTGGCTTCAATTCCCCAGCCTCTTCTAAGCGTTCTGCTTCTGCTTGTACCGTGTTGTGTACCCCAACAAGCTCTTGCCCAAGTGCCTTCACTTCGTTGGCTAGGGAATCAAGGAGGACACTCTCGGCAGGAATTACGGAGCTGATATCGTTGCTAAATGTCAAAAGCCCAGAATCGTTTTTCTTCACCAGCTTCACCACGTAGTGTAGAACACTTGTCTTTTTGTCAAATGCTTTTGCCTAGAGATACGGTTCAAAGGTCAGAAAGAAGCAGCAACTAGTCAGGATCGCAGTTTCAACCTACCTCATTTAGTTTCAGAAGTGCATCAAGTGTGAACCCAATTGCCATATTGCCCTCGCCACCAGTATTGATCTCATTGACCACTGTGAGAATCATTGCCATCAACTTTCTGAGCTTTTCCGAGGATCGCAACTGGTCGCAAGCGGAGTTCAAAGTATTTATTCCAGCATTCACATCATCGAAGCGATTCTTGAACACGCATCTGAAAAGCATGGCATCAATTTTCTCTGATGCACCAGGAACATCAATCATTTTATACATATACTTCTCAGTCTCACTAAGATTAGCATACAGCACTTCTTTTGGACTTTTGGAGTTTTGCATGTATCCAATCAAGTCCCTCCGTTCGTCTGGATTTGCGAGAAACTCTTTCAAAGCCGATAACTGGGTTGAATCAAACTTACTCCTTTCCCTATAGGTGAAAACAAGCCATGAGAACCGAAAATCTAGATCATCACGCAGCAACCAATATACTCACATCTTGTTCACAATATCTGCAATTTTCCCATATTCAATCTTCAATCGGGCGAGAATGATGCCACCATTCATTGATCGTTTCGGATCAATAACTTGTACAAGCTTCTTGACTGCCTTTTCGGGCTTCTTCATTTTCTTGGCATCCTTAGGGTCTGCAGATTCGGTAAACAGTTCCTCAAACTCTTTTTGGTCGTAGTTCAATTTGTTCATGTCAACAACATCTCGAACAATGTGCCACATTGAATTCTCCTTGAGCTTTCCGGGGTCAATTGGGTTCCAATAGATTTTCTTTCGCCGCACTCTTTTCTTCTTCTTTGTTGGACTCTTCCTTGATGTGGATGCCTCCTTCAATTGATATGCTACCGACTTCTCGGGATCTAGGTCAAGTACATCGGGGTCTTTGCCATCACGCTCGAGTGCATTCTTGACAGCTCCAATTGGAAGTCCCATGCCAATCATTTTGAAATATTTTGCATACTCAGGGTCATCTTTCAGAGGAATCGCTGTATCTTTCTTTCGATTCTTTACAAGTTGGAACTGGATACTTTTTCCTGGGTCAAGATCCATGACATCTGGATCCTTTCCGTCTCGCATCAATGCATTCTTGACAGCGTCAATGGGCAAGCCCATCCCAATCATCTTGAAGTACTTCGTATATGCTGGGTCATCCTTTAGTGCAATGCCCGTGTCTTCTTTTGCACCTGTCTGTGATTTGAAGGTCTCGCCTGGATCGAGATCAATTATTGCAGGATCCTTTCCGTCACGCACCAAGGCATTTTTGACAGCCCCAACAGGCATCCCTATTTTCAGCATCTTGAAATACTTCTGGTAGTCTGGGTCGTCTTTTAGTGGGGGGTTCTTGCCTTCCGAGTGCTTCAATAGCTGCGAACCTAAGCTCTTTGTAGGATCAAGATCAATGACCGAGGGATCCTTCCCATCTCGTTGCAAAGCATTTTTAACAGCGTCTCTGGGGAGACCCATTTTGAGCATTTTGAAATACTTCTCGTATTCTGGATCTTCCTTTAATGCTACATCTCCAGCATCATTATCTGGTTGCTCTGGCATTTGCTCTTCCAGACTCTTTTCTGGATTGAGTTTGAGAACAAGTGGGTCTTTCCCATCGCGTTTCATTGCATGCTCTACCTGTGCCGATGTTATGCCCATTTTCAACATTTTGAAGTACTTGGCGTATTCAGGATCGTCATTCCATGGTGTCAATGAAATTGTAGTCTCTTCTGCTTGACTTGGAGATTGCTCTCCTGCGTCTTGTGACCTCTGGTCCTTGTTCCTACTTTTTTCCAATTCTTCAGCATTACGGGCCTCTTTCCATTCTTTCTCCTTCTGTTCCTTTGATTTACAATTCATACTGCCCTCTGTCGACTCTTTAGATTTGTTGCCTACTTCATCTGTTCCTTCTTTCTCCATATTTGCGGCTGCCTTTGGTGGAAGACCATCCCATTTTTGAGACTCTCTCAACAGATCAAGAAGGCATGGCAGTGTCACCCCAGTATGCTGCATTTGGAGTAGAACCTGGGTTGATATGCCTCGTTGTCGATCGTAGCGACGGCTATAGTGGTTCTGTTGAGAGTTGCTCCTGGTACAACTTCGCCCACGGTAGAAAATTGGATTGAGATCTGGATGAAATGGAACTTTCGGTAGACAAATAGACTCCAGCGTTGGTGTTGGAAACCTGTTATTCAACTCCGCATACTCTGCACCGAAGCAACGGACAATATCACCAGGGCGCGGGTATGTCATTCCCGACACCATCCATCCAACATCATGACAGCACACTTCTTTCCTGGACTGTTCCCAACGGCGAATTGCACTGTTTCTTCGCTTCGGAGTGTTTCCCGAATCAGAATTCGTCTCATGAAGCTTTCGTCTCTCGTCAAGTTCTTTGAAACTGGCAATGTCTTTGGAATCCAAGTTCTTTGAAACGTCAATTGAGTTCAGTACGCCAAACATCTTCTGCAGTCTGTCACCATCTTTTTCGAGATCCATTTCTTCGTTTTTCGGTACTTTTACCTTGTCATGTTGAAAGTTCGATGATATGAAAGGACTTTCTGTGGATGTATCGCCATCTGATGGAAGTCGCCACCATGCAAATAAAGGGGAGCTCAACAGCAAATTGTTTGTTCGATTATGACTGAAATTTGTGAGCTGGAGTGCAAGGCAAATCAAATGACCTGCGCAGTTTTCGAAGACTCGTTCGTCATGAAGGGTGCGGAAGGCCTTGATGTCGGAGGCGTCTGGCCGTGCAGAGTGATGCTGAAAGATGACTTTCAACCCTTCCTCATATGCCTGTCGGTGGTGACTACACCATACTTTTTCCGATAACACTCCTTCTTTCGACTTTAGCTTGTCTCCTAACCCCCTAGGTAATCGATGAGTGGTCTCCGGTTTGCTACCCTCCGTCTCGTCCCAATCAGCTTGGAATAGAAGCGTCACCAGAAAGTCTTCATGATCAAGATGCAACGCGTAGCGTTTCGTCAAATCAACTTTCTTTGACGGAAGCTCGTATGGACACCCCCCAGCGAGAAATCCGGTGTTATTCGAGTACCGAAAAAGAATCTTGCTCGGATCGTGCATTGCTGTGTCTTTGGCAAAATCTCCGCCGAACCGACAAAGCAAAAGAAAGTCACCGTCCAAACACACATCGACTTTGTAGAACCCCTCCTCATCAATCCATTGGGATAATGCGCTTGAGTTTCTCGGTGATGTTGAATCGCTAGCCCATATTTCTGGGTGGGAAGAGTATACAAGGCGTTGCGATGAGTCCCATATGTCTAAGCAAGGCTTGTCCTCCACTGGCACCCCCTGTAGAGCAATAGCTCGTAATAGTAGTGGTTTTCGGTTCAGATATCCACCAATATTTAAGGCAGTATCAAACTGACGAAAGAAGAGTCGAAGTGTCGGCGGAAGTTGTTTCCAAGTTGTTTCTGGATTTTTCACTCCGCGTTTGAAAAGGAAGCGAAAAAAACCTTCTTGGCTGTACTTAACGATCCCAGCAAACTTCAGATAGCATGCAACTACAATCGCCGTTCGAGTCTTCCCGTTGGAGCAATAGACAAGTGCAACATTTTGATGGTGAAGTTTCAAGTATGCATGGATTGCGTAACATGTTTTGAGAATATTTGGAATCGATGGCGTTTCTGACCTCTCTACGCACGGGGACCACCAACCCAGTTGAACAATTTGCCGTCGGAAAAGGAGTAAAGTCCGGTCATCCGGCTGCTCATCCACCAGAGAGAATGCTAGATAGTGGTCTGACCCATGCCGTTTGTCCAAAAACGACGTCATAATTCCAGGAGAATTTTGTGCTGTAACGGGAACCCGAGATGAGCTAGCTTTGTTCGAATCATGGATCGCTTCCTCGTTGGACATGGTCGAGGCAGATACCTTATCCCCATTTGAATTTCGATGTGTGTTCTTGGTATCAGCAACCGGGCTGTCCAAGGAATATTGATTGGGTGTACTCTTTTCTCCTGTCGATGTCTCGCCCTCGTATAGATTCATTATTCCTCCTCGTATTTCGTTCGTAGAGGCCTTCAGGGCTCTCCCTGAATGATTCTCTGTCGCACTCGGAGTTGTAGAAGATGACTCTTGTGGATCGGAGTCCCTTCTGGAGATATCATTGTCGTTGTGACTCGTTATTGGATTTCGAGTTTGAGGTCCAGATATTGGTCGTGGAAGTTGAGCATACGTCGGCCGCTTTTCCCTACCATTGTCGATATACGAAGGATTTGAGCTGGCCGTTGGTTGACTTGAAACAATCAATCTATCTGTGAGGTAAAGCAAGTCTACTGATGATGGTGGAGTCTGGAGACGATTTTTCAGTTCTTGGGTCGCTTTCTTTGTAACTGCCTCGATTCTTGGTACTAATGAGCCCTGGACTTGGTGGAAGATATCATCAACAAGATCGTCCAGTAGAACATTCATTGTGTGTCTGCTTGTTGTCTTATCCGCATTTCCTTACTCTCGTGAACCCGCCGCTTCGCATTTTTTATTTCGTTCAGTGAAAAATATGAGTCGAATGTTTCGGCTCATTTCTTTCGCTCAGATCTGTATTGTAGAATGAACCTTACCCTACTCTTCGTATGGTCACAGACTACTGTAGGAATGGGCGCATCACAATACATAGAAGGAGAAACAGGAAAACAATGTTTATCACTAAGCACTACATTCCAAAGGTAGATCAGCCTTCAATATTTCCACAAGAAAATCGTCATCTTGGCTGTACCAAACTAGTCTTGTGCGTCACATATACCGGCAGCGGACACCGCGAATTGGGCATCTGCTTCAGGAAGTGTAGGACTATCAAAAACGCTCATGATGCGATTTTCGCCGCGTCCCTTACGGAGACGCAAACGAGTAGTCGACGCATGGGCAATAATGTTCCCCCCAATTGGTTTGGTAGAGTCCTTCGCAAAACTCATACCGTCAGGATTGGCAACCACTTGATTCGTAATGAAAACGGCGACACCAAATTCCTCCGCAAGTCGGGTAAGTTGACGCAAGAACTGCCCCATTTGCATTTGACGCTCGCTAAGTTCACCACGACCAGTATAGTCTGTACGAAAGAGTGCAGTGGCTGAATCCACGACAAGAAGGGCATATCTGTCCTGCGCCATTATGGCTGCAGCTACCTTGAGTAGTTCCATCTGGTGCTCAGAGTTATGAGCGCGAGCACAAGCAACATTTTCCAGTGCAACAGCTGGATCAAGACCGAATCGTTCGGCGATTGCCTGGAGTCTGTTCGGACGAAAAGTGCCTTCGGTATCAATATAGATTGCTTTTCCCTCGGCACCTCCTTCCGTCACCGCCATTTGGCAAGTAACACAAAGAGTATGGCACAATTGAGTCTTGCCAGTGCGAAACTCCCCGAAGACTTCGGTGATAGAACCCGTTTCGACTCCTCCTTCGAGAAGCTTGTCAATCTCTACGGAACCAGTTGTCAGTGTTACGAGGTACCTGACGCGCCAGTCCAAAGCGAGGAACGAACAGCAATACGTGAATATGAGGTAAATAACAAAGAGGCACAAGTACTGGTACTTGATAGCAATCAGGACCACCTACTTTCGATCTTCGAGTGCGTCGGCGGCAGTTTTGAAATCCATTGAAACCATCGACTTGACGATCTCCTTGAGCTTTATGACTTTTGCTTCCGAAATACCTTTGACGTCGGAAAGCTTGCGCGCTGTTGCATGTGCGATCTATGAACGGCAAGTGAAAAAGACTAGAATCAGACATTTGCTGAATCATTCGTTTCCTACCTCTGGCCAGAATGACTGACAGGTTAGAACAGAGTGGATCCGCAGGTCACTTACCGACTGCACTGTGTGATATCCTGCTGTTTGGAGCTTCTGAATATCGTTAGCAGCAATTCCATGCTCTTGCAGTACTTCCAATGTTCGAAATTGGGCGAACTTTAGCGTAGCGGAAATTCCAAAGATGAAAAGAATAGTTTGTTGAGTGCCAGCCCTGAACTCTTTTACAATCAAACCGAATTATGTCTTACCTCCATTTCTGCGTCATTTTCATCGCCTTGCTGTTGCATGTCATCATGGTTGGCGGTTTCTTCTTGCATCATCATCTTGAGCTGGAATTTGTTCAACAACAAATGGTTTCGAGTGCAATTTTGAATTGTGTGTCACTCCTCTTCATGGACGATGCAACGGTTTTGGTAAAAATTATAGCGCGATCTGTACTTCCATACGAAGCCATTTGTCTTGCCACCGTCCGCGATTGACCTACAATACGTGGTTCAAACTTTAGTGACCAAAAGCAACCTACCGTAGTTCCTGGCCTCTCCAGCCGCATTACACCGGCAGTTGGATACTCTAGAAGTAGCATAAAAACCAATTAACGATTCAGTTATATATATATGGATTTACGAACTTTCAAATGGTATATTGATGCATCATTTGCAGTTCATCCAGATTTCAGAAGTCACACTGGAGATGTATTGACTATGGGTGAAGGAGGATTACAACTAGTCTCAAAGAAATAGAAGTTGAAAAGTCAAAGTTTGACAGAAGCCAAATTGATTGGTGTTGATGATGCTGCGACACAGATATTATGGACGAAACTATTCGTGGAAGCACAAGGTTATCCTGTTGAAAAGAACATGATCCTATATCAGGATAACAAGAGTTCTATTCTATTGGAAAAGAATGGACGTGATAGTGCCGGAAAGCGAAGCCGAGCTTTGAACATTTGATATTTCTTTATGACTGATCAAGTCAAGAAAGGGAATGTAACTATTGAGCATTGTCCAACTGAAAAGATGTGGGGAGATTTCATGAGCAAACCTCTACAGAGACAAAGATTCTTGGAATTCAGATCATTGATCCAAGGAGAACAAGATTAGGAACAACGCAATTTCCTTTGATGTTCCGTTGTTATCAACTATGTTAATAAAACGGCAGGAGTGTGTTGGATATATTATGATTTTTAAAGTATATATTTGGAGAAACGAGAAAAAGAGAATACATGTGAATGATGGAGAAAAAGATGTCGATTGATACAACTAAAGATGTGGATTGATACGACTAAAAATATCGCACGCTGCAAGTCAGAAAAAAGATCATATTTCTATGGAAATCATCCCATTGATGATGTAAGAAAATAAGACTCAAGGAAGATCCAAAGTTGGATACTAATCAAAGTACGGACTACAGTGGAAGGTGAACGGATGAATATATTGAACTTGAAGCATATCAGGCTGACAAAGAGAGAATTCTGAGAATTTTCACTGTGCTGGAAGAAAAAGAGTCAAAGTCAAAAGTTGACAGATTGTTCTCACTTTTTAAAATATATCACGAGTAATGAGTGAATTGGTTGATAAAGTAGGATCTCTGATAGATCTATATACTTCTATATTCTGCAGGCGGATACTTGGACTTTCAGCAGTACTTTACATTGGATCACAGGGGACTCTGGATTGACATTGACCTGGAGGCTACTCTTGGGGCCCCATCAGCGAACTCCCTTTCCTTCCAACCACGTTGCCTGACACTGGCTGATGGTCATTTGGTTGATCGATATATTAAAGCTGCTGAAGCGGGTTACCGGCACTTCTGTCTTCCCCAATGCTTGACCCAATTTGCGGAGGATATTTCGGTCCAGGATGGATACTTGACGGCAAAGCAGCAAGATGGATTCAACACAATTCATCATCAGGCCTATGAGATCCGCCGAAGGGCTGAGCGCAACTGCCGGAAACTGTTGATGGGTAAAGTTCACCGGTCACCACAAATGCAGCAGAAATGGGATAGGCCGCACCTCTACCAGCTTCTGATCTTGGGACATAAACAGGTCAGGACTAGTTCACAGAAGGTTCCGGCGCTTGTTGAAGAAGACAGGGTTGAGTGACGCATGGAAACTATTGGAGCCTGATCTACAGGCAAAGTGGTACCTCGAACCTCAAGAGTACAAGGAGGTCAAGCTGAAGCAGGCACACCAGTGGCGCCTGGAGTACCTGGGGACCCGATTGGCAGCGGTCCAGGAAGCAAGAAAGGGCAACATCAATGCTTGTAGCAGACGGACTCAAGTCCAATGGATGGCACAAAAGGAGGAGACCCGACGGCGATGGAAAGCCCAAGGCAAAGGCTTTTCTGGCGGTTTCCAGCAGATTAAAGTGGCCCAGGTGGCACAAGACGGTTCTTCCCATTGGGTGACATGCCAGTCTAAACGCCTTGTGGAGGAAGGCTGCACGCAAGAGAACCGGCTCCAGTATGATCAGACTTGCTACCCCTACTCTACCCCACCCATGACTGAACCCTTGTACTCCAACTTCAATGGCCCCAACGCAGAACAGAACAGCCATGCACTGCTCCGGAGCCTATATGAAGTTGAGACGGCGGATCCTTACTTGGCATCATTCATGACAGAATATAATTATTCTTGGGGAACGCTCAAAGTTACACTAGAAGATAAGATAATCAATTCAAGGTAAACAAAACACGATGCGATGGGTCGATCGGGAATTGACGAACAGTTGATGCGCTTGGTGCGCAAAGTTCCAACTGTTCTCATCCGACGACACGTCATCATATCTATTTTACTATTAATTACTATAAGACCCATAAGACTGCTAACGTA